TCTTACCACTTCCAGTTTGCCTTTAGGCACTCTGCATATGCAATTTGTTCCGAAGTTGGTGTCTCGTGTCTGAATGCAGCGAAGACAGCACAGATTTTCGTAGCCCTGCTTCTTCCACTTCGCAATAAGATTCTTGTCGGCGTAACCTTCTTTTATACAGTAATCATAGAGCTCTGCAAACCAAATCAACACAAAACACCAACAACTATTAATAACAAACAGCTGTAGACTTAAAAGCAAACCAGGTGGTGGAGTCTGCACGGGTGAAATTACCTCTGCTGATTGCTTTTCTTTTGTAAAACAGGTCGAAAATGTAGCGGCTGCGCTGGTGATGAAGTCTGAATATTGGCCAAAGGGACTCGACTTTCCGTTTACCCTCATGAGGCTCGGTTTCAGCTGGGAATTACAATCATAAACACCAACAACACTGAACAACACTGTACATCAAACCAAATTAAAACCCATCACGTATTTAATAGTAAGTATTATATTCGCGTAACATGATTCAAACAATAGCCGACTTGCTACTCAGTTAGCTTAAAACATCTAAAAGCGAGCCATGTCTGAACTTACCTTCCCTCATTTTCTGATCCAATTCATCAAGAGTGGGCTCAATCAGCTCCCAACCGTCTGGTGGTGGCTTTCTGCTTCTTTTCACTTTGGGCATGACTTCAAATCAATAATAATAACAATTTAAAAAAGTAATAAATATATCAGTTGTTTACGAGCTGCTACAGCACAGGATCTTTTAGTCGCGTTTTGTTTACGTCACAGAAGAGGTCCTACTTTGCATTTTGCGACGTCTCAGGAAAAATAAATAAATAAATAAATAAAAACGGAAGCTGTCCTTCTGAAATGTCCTCTAAAAACCATGTGTACTGAAGACATTTGTGAGATGTCTTTACGTTTTTCTACACGTGATACAACAAGGTTAAAGAAATATCACATTAATAAATGTGTTTCTATAAACAACTGATTGTGCCATATTGCATCAGGTTAGGTGTCCCAGGAGTGCCTGAGAGAAAATAAATGCGATGGCATGGTAGACTGCTTTTTAGACTTAACTGTCGTAGGCTGAAATTAGTATTTTGAAGAGAATTGGACATTATCATTTGTTTCTTTTGTATTTCACTGTAATAATTATTGAATCATTGATACTCCCAACTTTTATTATACTTATAGAGTTGGTTACGCTTACATAAAACTTGGGTTATTGTTAGCAACTTAGCCAAGACGCTGTAGCTAGCCGTAGTTTCACTTTATTATCAGCTCAAACTGGGATTCTGCTCAGCTACATCACTAAATTAGACATTAGGCTAATTATCTGTTATCATCTAAACATCATCATGCCTAAAGGAGGTAAGACACTGCTGTTATCTTGAGTGACACTAGTGCAGTTGTCACAGACAAGTAGATCAATAATAATAACAACAACAATAATAATAACAATAATAATGATGATGTAATACCTAGTGAATGATTAACATCTACACTGTATACTGTACAATTGGCTTTAGAGAGAGTGTTGTGAAATTGCATCCCACTTTTATTCTTGTTTAGGCCACTTCTAATTATCCACCTAATATAACTGTATTGAGCAATACTTCATTAAGGTTTATTTATGAAGATCTAAGAAGATAAACATATGCAGTGTAGAAAAGCAATATGTGTAAAATTGGCCTGTGAAGGCTGATGATGCACATGTTCTGTTTCCAGGAAAGAAAGGTGGACATAAGGGTCGGATGAGAACGTACACGAGTCCTGAAGAGATAGATGCTCAGATGAAAGCTGAAAAAGAACGAAAGAAGGTAATGTTTACATAATCTAATAAGCCACATTGTGCATTAACATGGAAAGTATACTTCCCACGTTTGAAATAGTTAAGATTAGAGTATAATAAGATGTTTATGATTCTAAGAATGTGATTTAAAGACTCACCTGCTCATTTATGCAGTTATCCAATTAGCCAATCATGTATCAGCAGCACAACGCATACAGTCATGCAGATACAGATCAAGAGCTTCAGTTAATATTCATATCAGCCATCATAATGGGGAAAAGTGTGATCTCTGTAACTTTAACTGTGGCATGGTTGTTGATACCAGATGGGCTGGTTTGAGTATTTCAGAAACTGCTGATATCCTGGGAATTTCACACACAACACTCTCTAGAGTTTACAAAGAATGGTGCGAGAAACAAAAAAACATCCTGTGAGTGGAGGGTCTGCAGGCTGAAACACCTTGTTGATGAGGGAGATCAGAGGAGAAAGACCAGACTGGTCTGAGCTGACAGGAAGTGTATAGTAACGCAAATAAGCACTCTTTACAAACGCGGTGAACAGAAAAGCATCTCAGAATGCACAATACATCAAATCTTGAGGTTTGCTACAACAGTTTCTGAAAAACTCAAACCAGCCTGTCTGGCACCAACATCCATGCCACGATCAAAGTCACGGAGATCACACTTTTTTCCATTCTGAACATGAACTGAAGCTCTTGGCTGATTGGATAACTGCACAAATGAGCAGGTGTACAGGTGTTCCTATTAAAGTGGACAGTGAATGTATATATGTACACATACAAAATATATTCACAGTCCAGTCAGCCTATCATGTGGCAGCAGCACAATGCATAAAATCATGCAGATACAGGTCAAGAGCTTCAGTTAATGTTCACATCAAACATCAGAATGAGGAAAAAGGGTGATCTCTGTGACTTTAACTGTGCCATGGTTGTTGGTACCAGATAGGCCATTTGAATATTTCATAAACTGCTGATCTCCTGGGATTTTCACACATAATAGTCTCTAGATTTTACACAGAATGGTGAGAAAAAAAAAAGTGGAAAAAAAAAAAAGATCCATCAAGAGGCAGTTCTGCAAATGCTTGTTGATTAGAGAGGTCACAGGAGAATGGCCAGAATGGTTCGAGCTGAAAGGAAGGCGATGTTAACTGTAGCATGCAATAGGTACAATACGGTAACAAATAAACACTCTTTACAACCATGGTGGACAGAAAAGCATCACAGAACGCACAACATCCGGAACGTTGAGGCAGATGAGCTGCAACAGCAGAAGATCACATCAGGTTCCACGTGTGTAAGCCAGGAAAAGGAATCTGAGGCCACACTAGGCACAGGCTCACAGAAACTGGACAGCTGAAGATTGGAAAACATCGGCTGCTCTTTTTCACCTGGTACGAGGTATCTGTTTATTTAGGTCCCTAGAGGACTAGTGGTTAGGCCTCGGCGCTCTCACTGCTATGGTCCAGGTTCAATTCCCGGCCAGAGAACCGATCCCAGCCACTGGGGTTGCACACGACAGTGCACTCTCAGTGCCAGTCCCAAGCCTGGATAAAATTGAGGAGGGTTGCATCAAGAAGGGCATCCGGCATAAAACTATGCCAAATCAAATATGCGGACCAACAATCCACTGTGGCGACCCCTAATGGGAACAGCCGAAAGAACAACAACAAGGTATCTGTTTATTTGTAAGGCTTAATGTATATATTGTTTTTCTTTCAGACTGAAGAAGGGGACGAAGGAGCAGCAGTGAATGATATTCATAAGGATGACAAATGTGCAGGATCAGGTTCAGAGGACAGTGACGATGAAAGCTCTCGAGTAAGCCTTGTCTAATCTTTTACCTACCAAATGCTCTTTTGAGCCATTGTTTAGTTTGGATTAAAAAGAAATAAATCAAAGTTAGCTTAGGTGAACACATGGTTCAAGGTCTGAGTGGTGAGTGAATCATTGCAGTAAAAGCTTTATTAGCCTGGTGAGGCTGCTGAAAAGTGTTTCAGTGCCAATATTTCTGTTAGTTGTTCTCTTTGTGCTTTGCAACTGACCTAAGGAAAACTTTGATTGAAGTTGAATGTGCACTGCAGTGTTTCATCTGGTGGAAGTTATACCAATAGATTACATTTTATTTCAGGATTTCTTTACAATGTTCCAAAATACAATGTTTCTACTATGCCAGCCTGATGAATACTTTATCTTTATAACATGGCAGATGTTTGAGAGGACATTCTACCACCAGCAGTCCAACATCTAGTGTGGCATGTCAGAGTAGAAAACTACATTTCAGAATGTTTTTTTTAAATTATTTTTTAAAATTTCATTTGAATTTTCTTTCTTTGTCACAGAGACGAAAAGGTGTGGAGGGATTAATAGAAATTGAAAACCCTAATCGTGTTGCTCAGAAAACTAAGAAAGTAGCAGACATAGAGCTTGAGGGACCCAAACAGCTTTCTAGAAGAGAGAGGTAAGAGCCGCCAAGGTGGGTAAAGCAAATATTAGTGGCTGAGAAGCACTGACTGTTTATCTCCTTTTTACATAAATATGGTTTGTAAAGGAAAATTGCATTATTCTGTCAGAATTTGGAATAAGACATGATTTTATATGAAATTTTATATGATAATTTTGTATGTGGAAACATGATTTTAAATGAAAATCTGCCTGATCAACATTTCAGAGAGGAGATAGAAAAGCAAAAGGCCAAAGAAAGATACATGAAGATGCATTTAGCAGGAAAGACAGATCAAGCCAAAGCAGACTTAGCCCGGCTTGCAATCATTCGAAAGCAACGTGAAGAAGCTGCGAGGAAAAAAGAAGAGGAAAGGAAAGGTAAATTGGGGGCACACTTATTTTCTCTGCAATACAAATTGTATAAGGCTCACAGCTTATGAAATGCTATTGTAATGTTATAAACACTATCATTTTTATTCCTGGTTTTTTTTTTCTCGTGTGTGTGTGTGTGTGTTGCTTTATTGTAGCGAAAGAAGCGGCACAAGCGGCACAGGCAGCAGCAAAAGGACTTCATACACTGTCCCTGAAATGATAGTAATAATAAAATCAGAAAAGTTTTAAAGAACTGCAGTATACAAATATATATATATTGACTATTTTCGAGGACAAGCTTGATTGTGATTGTGTTATGCTTTGTAAGAAGTTACAATGCAACATTTCATTGAAAAGGGATATTTATGCATTCTCAATGCTAACCTTGAAAGCTGGTAATTGATGAGTAGGTCAGGGTGTTTTCTGCAATGTAGCTAAATGACAAAGCATAGATAGTTATTTAATGATATATACAGTACTGTGCAAAAGTCTTAGGCACATGCAAAGGAATGCTGTAGAGCAAAGATGCCTTCAAAAATAATGAAACTAAATGATTCTATATTTTAAAAAAACACTGTAAAGAGCATTAAACAGTAATAAATGAAACAAAGTCAATGTTTGGTGTGATGATCCTTCGCTTTACAAAAAATAGTAGTCTCAGGTACAATGCGTGCAGTTTTATAAGGAAATGAGCTGTAACTGTTACCGAGCATCTTGCAGAAGCAGCCACAGTTCTTCTGGAGACTCTGAGTGTCACACTGGCTTCTTATTTTTACAGCAAAACTCAGCAGCCTTTATTATGTTTTTTTGTTTGAAAAGTGTCTCTTATGTAATATGCTGCTTTCTTTACTGACATACAAACATTTTTCTGTAACGTTTAATTTTGTGCTGGGAAACTAATGTTTGGAAATCTAAACTGTTCATACTGACTCGATAATGTAGAAGTCATAAAATAAAAATCTATAACAAAGTTTGTACTAAAAAAATAGGGTGCCTAAGACTTTTGCACAGTACTATATATATATATATATATATATATATATATATATATATATATATATATATATATATATAATATGTGTGTGTGTGTGTGTGTGTGTGTGTGTCAGATGGAGTGAACCATAAGCTGAGTGAACATAAAAAAGATAACTACTTTATGAAAGGGGGGCATCAGGATTTTATTCACATTAAGCAATGTAATAATGTATTATCAACAGTGAGTATCAGTACACCATCACAATTCCTTCTTGTTATGAGATATACTATCTACGCAGGCTCTCTGTGTATACCTCTCTTGTTGTAAAAGCCCTCCAGAAAACTTTATTTGCCATCCTCATTTTTCTTTATTAATGCATAGCCTTCTGCTAACCTCAGCCACCATAATCATGAGATAAGTACATTCACCAGGGTATATCATGTTTGATTAACATATTATGAGAGCATTCTAATAAAGTGACATAACGTTCATTAAAAAAGCTCTGACCACTATACATTTTTATACAGGACTTTTAGGAAATAAAGAGAAATGGAACATGTTTTGTGGACCATATTAATTTCTTGAAACATAATCATCATGTTATGTGTAGTTAAATGACATCATAAATACACTATACAGTATTTCCAAAAGTTTGTGACCCATCACATTCCAGATTAGAGATGCACTATATGGTCAAAAGTATGTGGACACCTGACCATTACACAGATATGTGCTGCTTGTTAAACATCCCATTCTAGATTTATTCCTCCTTTTGCTGTTATAATAAGCTCCACTCTTCTGGGAAGGCTTTCCACTAGATTTTGGAGTGTGGCTGTGGGGATTTGTGTTCATTCAGCTACAAGAGCATTAGTGAGATCAGGCACTGATGTTGGGTGAGGAGGTCTGGTGTGCAGTCGGTGTTCCAGTTCATCCCAAAGGTGTTCAGTGGGGTTGAGGTCAGGGCTCTGTGCAGGACACTCGAGTTCTTCCACTCCAACCTTCTCAAACCATGTCTTCATGGAGCTCGCTTTGTGCACAGGGGCATTGTCATGCTGGAACAGGTTTCAGTTCCAGTGAAGGGAAATTGTAATGCTACAGCATACAAAGACATTCTGTACAATTGTGTGATTCTAACTTTGTGGTAACAGTTTGGGGAAGAACCATAAATGGGTGTGATGGTCAGGGGTGCAAAAACTTTTGGGCACATAGTGTATCTCCTGTAGGCAAATAACCTTCGTGTGATTCGACAGCGCGGGAAAACGCTCATGTGACTTTGGGGGGCGGGGACTCTGAGTTTTGACCACGCCCCTTAGTCTGGCGAAGGAGGATAGGATAGTGGGCGGGGAACATAATAGCAATATGAATATTTTTGCATGAACTAATTAAGAAACTGTTAGTACCGGTAAATCAGTTTTCCTCTTAGTTTTGTTATTCAAAGGACTTAGCTTTTTCTAAAGTTGCGTATGGGGATTTTATTATAACAAAAATGCTTAAAAGTAGGCTTAGTATTACGAGCTCAGGCTTTATGAACATGGAATTTTTCTAAAAGATAAAAGAAAATTATAGCGTAATCAAAGACAACATCTGTCTGTTACATTTGACGTTACTTGTTAAGTTAAATACTCCTTATTTACTTTTTTTTTTTAAATCTATTTACAGCAGCATCCAGTGACACCCATTCCCTCTCAAATATGCTATTTTAAAAACAGTATTCTATAAATCTATAAATATAGAGATGAAATGCATCAGAGAGGCACGTTATTCATTTTTCGTCCATGACTTCCAGCCGGAACTATATGTATGCAGCACAATGCGAACGGACGCAATTGCGTACGGACCAGGGAGAGATTTTTTTTATCCGACTCGTTAACTTTTTATGAAGAATCTTATAAGATAGAACTTCAGGGGAAAGTTAAGTAGGTGTCAACTTTATACAAACTACAAGTTTGTATAACGCCTAGCGCTAACCAGTCGGATAAAAGAAATCTCTTGATGGTCCGTACGCAATTGCGTCCGTTCGCATTGTGCTGCCTATATATAGTTCCGGCTGGAAGACATGGACGAAAAGTTAAAAAACAGCCACCATACTCTTTTTTCTCCAGTGCATTTTGTAGGTCATTTCGAGCATTTCACCTCTATATTTATAGATTTATAGAATATTGTTGTAGTTATTGTTTTTTTTTTTTTTAATAGCACATTTGAGCGGGAATGGGTGTCATTGGATACTGCTGTAAATAGACAAAAAATGAATAAAGAAAGAATACTTTAACTTCACGAGTCTATCAGAAGAATATTGAACTCAGAATGTCTTTTTAGAGTTAGGTTTACGAAAGTAGTCTGCTTGATTAAGAAGATAATTTCATTGTTGTTGTTTTTAAAGCCAGGATTTAATGATTGACAGGTTGCCTCCTGGGAGATAGCCCCGCCCCTCAGCCGAGGTACCGCGTGCACTGACATTATCCTTATCTGGTGGGAGAGGAGAGCTCAGGAGCTCTCTCTAAACTTTCCTGGACTTTGAATCCTGACCTTATTTGCGTGAAAAGCACATATAATCCCTGCAACTGATTTCCCTCTCAGTGGTAAAGGTAAGATCTTTCTTCCATTGTTGTAATATTGCTTAAAAATGTTTTTATTTCGGTATAATATTCATAAACAAACAAGCAATATAGCACTCATATCACAGATTATACAGGCAGT